AGTGCCGTTTGCATGATTATACAGGGTGTCCCATAAATATTGCACCACTTTTCTTTACTTGTAACTTCTTTCAAAATGGATGTATCTTCAAGAGGTTTTACAAAATTTTAGCAATACATTTACATATTGAAAGGAATGACATTCATTGGATATGCTCCCTGTTGTTGTGAGTATGGCTCCCAATTGCTTCGAACGCAACTCTACTGTGGCCCGCATGGCATCCTGGGGTGTTCTCTTCGAAACTTTGCAGAGAAAAGGCTCCGGCTCATCCATGTGGATGCAATGTTTAGTGCAGGCTCTGCCCTCTAACATAGCCCACATAGGATGGTCCAGCACGCTGAAATCAAGGGATAGGAGAGCCATTCGTTCGAGGATGTGAAATCGGAAAGAGTGCCTCAACAGCGCTCCTGAACAATTTTTGCCTCCTATGCAGAAGCTGGGTCCTATTGAAAAGATCATCACCCCTCCTCAAAGTGGCTAGATACCTCAGTAACAGATGGTGCACCGAAATGTCCCTTGGCTCGGTCTAGTATCAAGTTGTATTCCTTTGTAAACAGGCAGTGATGGTGAGCGACCGGTAGTTGAGACCCCCGTCCAGACCATGATAAGGTTCGGCTGCTGCTTGTGGCGAATATTCCTTTCACTCTCACTGACTTCCTCAAGACCTCATGCGGGCATCCTCGGAGTTTGAAGATTGTAGCTCCGCTCCATGTGAGGAATTTTGTCGTCGATGAAAACGGTGCCCGCGTAATCGCCATTTTCGGCCCTCGACACCAGCTCTTTGAACTTTTTGTCTCTGCTGTGCTCCTCCCGTTGGATTGAGCAGTGGTGCTTATGCAACTTATAATGGACTGTGAGCAGTTGTTATCCGACCACTCTCTACATGGCTGTGTTTAGAAACTCCAGCGTTCTGGTCACCTTTCTCGAGCCAACCCGGGTATTGCAGTCGTTTCGCTTCTTCATGCTTTTCCTGAGATCCAAGATGTCAGAACTTGTGGGGCGGCCACAACAAAGACTACTTTTTGGTCTTCTCTTTAGTGCACGGTAGGCCGCGGAGCGGTTGAAAATCCAAAGAAGCGCGATGCTCATCACCGGATGTCCGACCTAGCTGTGTGAGAGGTTAGGCACTCTGTTGAAGTTTAGGCGCACCATGAGATGCAGGCCGAACGGTAAGCCGTGGAATTTGGCATGGTCATTGACAAGAGGATAGAGGATTGAAAGGTCTGCCAATCTCGGAAGAAAAGCTATAAACACCTACAGAATTTGAGCTCAAAATTTGGTGCAATATTTATGGGACACCCTGTATATTCAATGCCTTCTCCAGAATCAACTAGTATAGCATATTTATTCGAATTTTTCCAGCCTATCTGCCTCGCTATGGAACTCTTGAATGGAACGCCCCGGAAAGGATCAACGCTGTGCCGGTGCTCATTGCTGGTTCTTCTTACCAGTGCACTTGTTTTCTTGCGTTTGTACATCAACGACTTCACAGCACCAAAATTCACAGAGTTGGACAATGCGGCTGCATTTGTTCCTGATCCCTTTCCTTCGGGTTAGTTTTTCTTATCGCCCCTATAGACTGAGGAATGTGCTCCATATTATTTAAACCACTCATAAATCTCTCGATGTAGCTCTGCAGTGGGTTCATATGTAAAGCATAAACAACAGGAAACTATCCAACGTTAGTCTACCGTTTCTCGAATAGTCGATTTTTGCCTAAAAGAAACCCATGAGACTGCTCTTGGGGAGCCCGCAATATCACCCTTCTTAAGCATTTCGCAATTCCGAGAAAAACCTTTCAATATTTCGCGACTGTTTTCAGTAGTGTTTTCATGTAGATTCATTGGAAAGGGTGCTATCACAATACATATATGGAGGCATTGGATGGCATTGCACGTGAAACTGATGCAATGATTTTTTCCTCAAAAAGAGAGTAAGCCTTAGGTAAGGTGGCAACACTTCAGGGTGCGCGAGCAATTTTTACTTGTCCCCAAGCTTCTGCCCAGTCCTAGGCTTACCCCAAGAGAATGCACTCATATCCTGCGATAGCGCCTTGAAAAGAAGATGTTGCCTCACAAATGTGAAACTTCACAAAAAAAATCCTTCATAAATAGTATTTTATCGTTTTTAGTTGACAGAGTCATGTGCTTAGGCAGAAGTAAACAGCTGAAGGGGTACGAAAAAATGATTTATTTACATTTTCAGTTAGCATCATACAGTAATCTGTGGCTGATAAACCTTCGCCTTCTCGTGTTACCGTACGCTCTCTGTTTTGACTACTCGATGGGATGTGTACCAGTCGTACAAAACTGGACGGACTTCCGAGCTCTGGCCCTGCCCGCTGTGGTCGCGGTGGTCCTCGGCGGCACATATGTTTTATTCAAAACAAACGACCGGTGAGAACATTTCCAACGCTGTGTCACAAATCGCTCATCTAGTTGGCATTTCAGAATGTTCAGAATGTTTCGTGTGGGAGCCGCTATGGCGAGCGCAAGTTGGCGTTCTTACCGTCCAAGTTTAAATTCTGTCTCATCACTGATTAGGCGTAATTTGACACGTGCGGAAAAGTGCGTGCTGAATACCTTTCCATTCGTGGAATGTGCCATGAATAATGGCCGGCTCTATCGTGAGTAATGGCAACGGCGGATAAGGGAACACTTTGAAGAAGATTTTGTGGCGATTTTGGTTGTCGCGAAGAAAATCACTAATGAGCTATCAGGTATTGTGAAATGAGCTATAGTAAATTTTGATAAGCATTGTTTCTGAAACACACCCATGACATTAACAACAGTGTGCGAATCTCAAAATGGGCCGGTAGTAAAAAAGAAAAGGAAAGCCACCATCTCAAAGACGCTAAAACTTAATTGGCATTATTTTTGGACTTTAGCTGGCTAGAGCGGCACGGCACTGAGCACAGAATGAGATTGAGGACAGGAAAAACGATAGATACCTATGAAATGAGAGGGCGCTAAGACACCCGTCTTTGTCACGGGCCATGCTAAAATGAAAGAAATAGCTGCGGTGTTGGAAAAGTACCAGTTCCCTCGATGCGCGCTTTCAAGCCGGGAGCACGGGACATCTACGACTTCAATAGACAACCCTATCCTATTTACCTGAGGGATCGATCCACCTAAATTCACCGCGAGGTAAGCTCTAAAGATAGGATAATTACGGATGCAGTTACCGAACGAATCCCAGGCAGCAGTTTCTTAAGCTCCTGAAGCCCTTATTGTACTAAAAGCTACTTCAATTCATTAATTCCATTCCTTCTTTGGCCCCTAGCACGATACGGGCCAACAGGCATGTGGAGCAATCATTTGAAATCCGCGCAGAGGCAGTCGTTCTGTGGAGAAGACGAGATCTGCCTCAATAGTCCAGCGAATGCGGTATACTGCGAGAGCGCCCAATCGTTGAGAAGACTTTTCAAAGGTGGGACGCGGAGACCAGGGTCACCCTATCGTTGTTACTTTTTCAAAAATTTTTACGACCCCCCTCCCCCAAGGTGGACTTTGATACGACCCCCTTTTCCACACCTCGACCACCATCATCGTCTCTATAGTATTTAATTCTGATACCACTCAACCCACCAAACTCCGCCCACTTTTTCCTCCAAAAATGCCGTCGAGCGGGGGGGGGGGGAATTTTTTCCTGCGCCCCTCAACTCACCCAGCCTACCTACCCATAAAAACTTCAGTTTCACCTCAAACTCACATGTGATTTCAAGCGACTGAAACGGGTACGACCCCCCCCCCTCCTACAAACTCAACCAAGTACGACCCCGTTGTTACTAGTAACAACGTAGGGTTGACCCTGGACGGGACTAAACCTTGGCGGAGGAGAAGAGACTCTAGGGATGACCCTGCCATTTCCATTCTCCCGGCCTGCTGTCCCCTCCTAGGCTTGGCTCCAGAGGATGATCCCCTATATTGCGATAGCGCCCTTTTGTTTTGAAAAGGGGGGATCGCATCAGCGTTTATGCAACATAAATGTTTACATAAAGGTGACTAGAGGGGAACTGAGTTATTTTTGCTTTTGCGCAATTCTAGCAGACGGGAGTTAGTTTGCTAGAGTGAGGCAAAGTATAGCACTGTACTATTGAGTACCCATTGAATGGCGTTCGTAAAGGATCTAAATATGGGTATTCCAAGCTGTTTTCTCATTTGAAGAAGTGATGCGCCTGTACTCTGCAGCTTAATTCATAGCACAATTGCTCATGAACCACCCTAGCTTTTTCAGCGTTCAGAAGAATGGCGAACCGAACTCGATCTCTACGCGAGTGGACTACGAGTTTGTACACAAAACGCCAAGGTCCACTATAATCTTGGCAAGGTTCTGAGCAGAATTGGTGATGTAAACGCAGCTGAACACAACTACTGGAATGCTATTCGGTGGGTCTTGTTTAAGAGCATTGAACTGATACCTATTTCCAAAACCCATGAATCCTCTCAAGTTTTCAATCTCCAGGTTGAATCCAAATTACGAGCATGCGATGAACAACTTGGCCAACATACTGGAAGGCAAAAGGACGAAGTGAAGAAGCTGAAGTGCTGCTGAGAAAAGCTCTCAGAAGCCGCCCCATGTTTGCCGTAGCCTGGATGAACCTTGGCATCACGCTCATGAACCAGGGAAGACACGAGGTACGGCTCATTACGGACGAACTGTTTATATTATAGAAAACTCTTGATACTCACACGAAAACAACATGTGTGAGGTTTTGACGCGCAGCCAATTCAATTTCTTCCGTGAGATGAGATGGCACTCCTCGGTAGGTCATGACGCTGTCGAGCCGAGTGGGACTACGCTATAGGAATGGCACCAAACTTGCAATATTCTTAAAGGAGGAATTTACCCAGGAAAAGGCAACCCATTGGAAATTGAGTTAGAGATGGTCAGTGATGCACGAAAGAAGAAAAAACCAGAAAAACGGCCCAGAACCCGAGAAATGGGACCCCTTCCTTGCCCGTTGATTTCCGCATTGATGCGACTCTCATCGGTGCTGCCCTCTTCAACGCTAACGCTCTCTCTGCTAAACGGCTAGAGTCAGACAGCGAGAGGGGGCGTACCGCGCCGATAGCGCGGGGAAGGCCATGCTAGATCGCCGGGGGCATATCCTTCGATGCGAATTGCGTGTCGGTCCGCACCCTTAGGAAGTCCGCCTGCCTCTCCACTGTATAGTTTTCCCTTCTTCGACCTACGTCTTTACCGTGAAATTCTCCTTTAAGGAAGCACTCAAGTCATTCCATCGATCGATTCAACTGCGACCCTCCAGTGCCGACTGTCTCTTCAATCTCGGGAATCTCTACCAGAAAATGAGAAGGCCTGACGATGCACTTGAAGCATGGAAGAATGCCACAGTGTGAGTTTGCTCTTCCTCTTCTCCCATTTTTGGTGCTTTCATTCACCAGTAACAATTTTACGGATAGCTATTTACGAAGTTTCCGAAGCTGGTAAGGCGCTGTTAAGGCAGCGTTTAGAGTTGGCGATTGTACGTGCGATTAGGCGACTAGTCTATAAGGGAGGGATAAGTATCGATCAGCCGATTAGGCGAGCAGGCGAGTAGGCGATCAGGCGATTAGGCGATTAGGCGATCGCTCGATGGGCGGAGCAACAAATCAATACGTATCCTTCTCTTATCGCCTACTCGCCTACTCGCCTAATCGCCTACTCGCCTACTCGCCTACTCGCCTAATCGCCTAATCGATACGTATACTTTCTTTTTGAATCATCGCCTAATCGCCTAATCGCCTAATCGCATGTACGATCGCCAACTCTGAACGCTGTCTAGATGATGTGAAAGCTTGAGAGGAGCTCGTCACTTTCCTTCAGTTGACACCTTCGGTCTAAAATGTAATATTTTCAGGCTCGATCCCCGTCACAGCAAAGCATTGACGAACCTTTTTGTTGCGTTGGATGAGCGTGAGGAATGTGATGCAGTGGTGGCAATGGCTGAGAAAATTCCACATTCGGTGGTGGAACAATCGGCCGCACTCTCCTTCCAGATAGGAGTGTGTTTGGGAAAAATCGCTCGATTTTCGGACGCTGAACGTCGTTTGAAGGTCGCCATTCAGCTCAACCCACATAATGCCAATCTACCACGCCTAACTTAGGTGATCTTGAAATATCATACTACCGTATTCTCAATTGATGTTAAGCTACCATTATAGCACCGTATCCTTCAACGTCATTTTGGCCTCAAATCTCACAGAGATATGGGTCAGGGGGAGGGGGGGTGGGGGGGGGCCACCCAATCCGGAACCCTACCTGCATGCAAAAGCAGAAACGAGACGGAGTCAGCGAACGAATCGCAAGAACTTCTGTGTGATGGAAGTGAATAGAATCTATTAACTGTGCGAAATCGCCTACAGTAACGTGGCACTCGTCGCCCCACCCCTCTGCTCTTGCCTGTCTCCCCGCGGGGACTTTCTGTCGAGTTATCGAGTACGGGGTCTGTGACAAGAAGTACAGCTATCTAACGCCTCATCGTGAGCTGAATCTCGAACCGTATCCACACTAGGAAGTCAAATCAACCCTCACAACCTTTAAGATGGCAAGTAGGAATTGTTTTCGTCTGGCAACATAAAAACTGTCGAAAAAAATTGACGCATTTATCCACAACGAGCGATTCTCCCTTCATTCGTCCACATTTTAAAGGCCTCAGACTTTTCGCTTACGCATCTCCATGCGAGCCAGATATTAACGAAGTCCATTTAAGGAGTGCTGTACCAGCGATGGACTCGATACGACCTCGCCGAGAACTCGTATCTCCAAGCTTTAATGATCGACTCGGAGACGAGTTCGGTTAGATGGAACCTGCAGGCGGTTCAGGAAAAGCTCAACAGGACACGAACGAGTGCCAGACCAAATACGCATTCTTAAAACAACTATTTATTCACTTCATTCAATTCTACCCGTTCTCTAAACGAGAGCGAGTTCCTTCATTCCTCATTTCAATTTTGGCAATAAGAAAGCCGATACGTGTGATTGTCACCATCTTCTCCATCTCCAGCCGTCAATTCCTCCTCGTGACGAGGCTTTAATACTAATTTTATTCCAAAATTATCTCAATTATTCAGTTTAATTACATTGAATACGGTTACTTTTCATGTTGGGTATGTTCTGATAGTTGATCTCTAATAAATTATACTTTTTTTGCTCGGTTGTGGGTGTTCTTGTAGATCCTTCACTTTCAACCTACGTAAATTCGATGGACCAGCCTGTAGCATTAGGTGTTCATATGGGTGATAATTCGATCTCTTCCTACGATCCAGTTCTGCTTCCCACGCTTCAGGAACTTTTTTTCAGGATTACTTTTCCTTTCCTTGCTGCATACTGTCGATGTCGCCCTGTTCACTGTCGATAACGTAGAAATGCGTTGCGAAGCAAGTTTGAAGTTCATATTTATCAGCAATCCTTGAAAGTCTTCGTTGTTGATTTTTGCTGTGCTCTCATCGAGCTGATGCTAATAAGAATCGACTGGCTTTTCCAGTAAAGAAAATTGGTTCCAAGCTATCAGACGCTTTTTTCAACAAGGAATGAACCAGCTGCTCGCTCTAGGTGACGGTTAGATGTGGTAAAAGTATATGAGAGGCGGCAGAAAAATGCGTTGCTCTTCTTCTTCTTCAGAACGGAATTAAATACACTTCGCTAAAATCAATCCAAATGTTCTAAACTGAACATCAAAGAGGAAATTCCAACCTGTCGAAAAACTTCACAACACCTTTCTAAAAAATACCTCACAGGAATTTTCCATGGGAGCATGAATTATTAACTAGTAGAACTTGAGCAACCCTTTAAAATTGGATAAATTCTCAGCATCCAAATCTCCTACTTCGTCATAATAATCGTCTCGAGTTAGATTTTTCAGTTTTATCTCCTCATTTGCGCTGCACTGGGAGGAAGAAGCAAAATTCGTATTTCTCATCCATCAACTGTGACCTAACTTTTCTACTGGCAATCCATTGAGCACATACTTGATGCATGATTAGTCTAAAAAAGGAAACAAGCCAGACTGAGATTTATTTCATAGTCAAGTCCTTTTTTGTACATCTACAAAGGCTTCATTCAGTGAGATCAGTTCTTGTTGGCGAAATTCACGCGAAGTGAGCGACCGTTGAAGTCTTGGCCATTGAGGATGTTGACGGCATTTTGGGCGCTGGCCTGATCGGCGAAATCGCAGAATCCGAAGCCCTTGTTGCGTCCGGTCTCACGATCGTACACAATCCTGAAATTCCATCCATAAAAGGGTATCAGAATAAAACGGAAAAATGTGGTGGACTTACTTGACATTGGTGACTTGACCGGCCTGGCTAAAGTGGTCTCCGAGTGCCTGCTCAGTTGTTTGGTAGGGGAGATTTCCAACTAAAACAACTCAGTAGAACGTACGTCCAGTAGAATGAAAATTAATGTTTTAAACCAATAAAAAATTAGGCGCTATCGCAAGATGCGGGGGCATGTTTCGGCTAAGGTTCCCAAGGAAAGGCAAGAAAATCGTCGAAATAAAAAAACTATACTGACGCAATCTAGAGCCTCTCCTCCACCTGAGACATAGACTCGTTTTTGACTAAAAGGAAATTTTACATGGGTTGAAATTCTTCCACCACGATGTCCCCGTATCTTGCGATAGCGCCAAAAATTATAACAAAGAAATAACGTACCATAAACGGAGGCCATTATTCCAAAAAGCTAGTCGAAGAAAAGAAAACTGAAGCAAGCGGCGACCGATAGGTGCTATGTGTTGCAATGAATAATCTGTGCGTTGGTTGACCTCATGGTCGACCTGGGCCGCCCATTTGAGCGCCAAGCGCCATCCTTTCTAGCCTGTAGTCTCGCCTGCATGTGTTGAAGGTCAACGTAAACAGGTTTGGAGATAGATTCGCATCATGTAATGCTTTCCCCATAAGTTAAGATAAGAAAACTTATGATTCCCACAGCAAACCACACCAAATATGGAAATATGCAAATGATTTTCAAACAGAACCATGGTTGCTCTAATTTCAAGAGCTTAGAAAAGAAGCGTGGGTGTAAATCAGCTGATCGAGCTCCCAAGTTATTACGTTGATTGAAGGACAACAAGAATGCGAGCTACATAGATAGCATAGCTGCAGATAAGTCTTTTGGACGGTGAAAGTTGAAACCACTTCCAGCGTCCTTAACGATGTTATGGTTAATGAGGTTGCGGTACTGGTTGTGAAATTGTATTCTCTTGTTTAAAAGCCTGTATCTGCTCCACTGTCGAGAAAATGACTCCTTTTCGTAATGAGCGATTAGAGACCTTTCTCATGAGCTTCAGATTTGGAGTTTCGAAAATTACTGGTTCGCGAGTGTTGGCTGGTGCCTACCATCCCTTTCGATGCCAGATGAATGCCATCATAGAAAAGACTCAGTGTTTAGCCAGAAAGTTCAACGCCAGGACCAGGTTACACAATTCAAAATGAGCATGGGAGAGTTGCTGCTATGACGATACTCAGATAAAAAAGCCGTTATCGTTACAGTTCTACCTAAGTCCTGCATCGCTCTCTCCTCCTTATCCTTGCTTGGGCAGGAAACTGATCAGTAGCCTTTTAACGAGCTTCACTGATTCATCCAAGTACCATTTCATCCCGGAAGTTCCATAAGAATCGACTTTCCGATGCTCAGGTGATGGCGACAGTGCCAGCTTCACCCTTAGCATCGAGTCCACCAAATATAAGTCGCGTCTCGGGATCAACCCGAGGAATCATTTTGCCACGCTGCTTTTTACATTACGTATTATGCGTGAGGTGATTGTGCTTGGTAATAATATCTCGTCTTTTTGAGAGCGGGCTGCAGAGATCACCCTCTATGGCGAATGAAATGACAGAAGTGGCCACAAGGAGACTAATATTCTCATAGGACCAAAGCCATCCGACTTACAGCATACTCACGGTAATAGGAGATAATCAACAGGTTGAAGGAAAACACGTCATCGCGATACACGGAATCAAACACACACCCCCCATCTTGGACTCTAATAAAAATTTTGAGTACACAATTTAGCAGGTACTGGACCACGGCAACGGAACACGGGGGCCATAGCATAAGCGGATGACGAATGACCGGTGGAACATGGACTAACTTGTGAGACATCCCTAATTTCACAAGTAACTGCCAGCCCATGATAATTGCACGTTAACAAAGCTGAGGGTATGAGAAAAATTATACGGAATTCATTTTTACAATTTTGACCGTTCGCGCGAGTACACATTAGGTACTTGTCTCGGGTGTTCGCAGGGACATGCAGTTCTCACACTCACACAACATCACTGCCGCAGACGAATTCATAAGGAAGGACCGGCGTGGAATTCCCATGCTTAAAACGTGCTCTGCACCCTCTGCCTCATTCAGCTATCGCTCGGAATCGCTAGTTCATAACAATACTCTCAATTAGTGCATCTGAGTGATGGTGAATCTCAGCCTCTTTCTTGAACCAACCCTTCCACAAATCGTTCAACCAGAAATTAGGGGTGTTTTTGATAAAGATCTTAAATGAATAGACCATGCCATTTCTTCAGACGAACTTTACACCCAAGCCCATTTATCCTGGCCTAAAGCGAATGAAGTTGAGTTGGTGTTGGAATGAGCACAAATTGTTCACAGAGCGGTGATATCAAACGTTGCAAGCGTCACAGTAAACAAGGGTAGGGTACTGAAAAATGGCGCTTTCTCCGTCGAAAAGCGCCTCTGCGGAGCTGATGCCTTTCTCAACTGTAAAAAGACCTCTAGCATTGACGAACATCCGCGGTTTGCATAGTCCCGCGCTTCCGTCGGATAAGACTCGTTCTACCTAATTATGCCTCCATTTTCACCTCCACCGAGTGGGAGCCGATGCTACTTTATCGGCTGCCCAGAAAATAGCACCCTTTTACTGATAATTAAATCACGTGAGCAACACTACTGGTTTAGAAAAAATTCTACAAGATAGCATAGGTAGATGCGCGCTGGAAAGGCGGTTGTTAATGTGTTAAGCGCTGAAGGCGTGGTGTTAATGTGTGTAAGCCTTACCCGAACCTTTCGAGAGGGGGGAGGGTCCTACAATTTTTTCGAGATGACAGCTTAAATGGGATGGCGCAATAGTACGAGAATTATGCCCACCCCATGTCATATGTTCATCACACAGCTAATTTTGGCACATATGGAGATGTAAGATTTATTGAGAAAAATGCTGAATGAGCCCGAAAGGCAAAGATTATTACAATAACGAATACCCGATTGAAGGAAAATGAAGCATTGTACGAACAAACACGAATTCCTTCAATAGTTGTGATTTGTAGTTCAAAAAGATCTTAATAGGGTTTTAGTTCTTGTTGGCGAAGTTCACACGAATCGAACGACCATTGAAGTCCGCGCCATTGAGGGTGTTGACGGCGTTCTCGGCGCTGGCTTGATCGGCGAAGTCGCAGAATCCGAAGCCCTTGTTGCGACCGGTCTCACGATCGTAAACAATCCTGAAATTCAGTCCATAAAAAAGTGTCGGAACAGAATGTAAGGGGAAATCTAATCGACTTACTTAACGTTGGTGACCTGACCAGCTTGGCTGAAAAAGTCTCCAAGGGCTTGCTCAGTGGCTTGGTATGGGAGATTTCCAACTAAAAATGAATTTTTCAAGATCATGCAACAAAATGCGAGGTACTGTTAGACAAACTGCTAACTAGCCGTTCTAGAGGCTAAATACATAGGTAGCACCAGCAAACAAAAACTCACCATATACGGAAGCCATTGTAATTGAGAACGAGTGAATAGACGATAGAAGACTGCAAGTTCCTAGCAACGTAGACGTTGATATGATTTGCCTTACGCGGGTTGACCTTGGGCACGGCATGGACCGCCCAGATGGGCGGCAAACCGAACCGATTTTCGCCTGTGGGGCTGTCCTGGCTGTCCCAGTGATGACCCTCAATGCAGCAACCGCATTATCTCCAAGAAGAGTCATCCTGGAAGCAAAACTTATGATTGTGACGAGATTCACTACGCTGAGACCGTACTGATCCTAAGATAAGATTATAAGATGAATATGATATTTAGAACGACCTCAATTGGGAAATGGGGTCTATTCCAGTTGGGGGGGGGGGGCATCATGATGCAGTTTCTTGGCGAACTAGTGAACTCGAACATTCCAGCTTTTCACGCATGTCAAGTGACTGCCCTCACCCCCACCCCCGTAGACTGGCTACACTCCCCCTGGCTCGGAGTTACCCTATCATGCATCAGGATGCCCCCCTACTGGAATAGATCCGGGAAATGTTCTTATACTTAGGGATTTGATGTAGCTGCTGTAACCATTTAAGCAACAGTATGTCTCTAATATACTGAGGATCTAACTGCCATTAGACACCTTTCATTGTTTAGTAGTCATTTTTCCTTTGCCTTTGTTATATATCTTTTCGTTGCCAGTGTTTTGTCGCAACTTGGGCATTAAGTATATAAACAAATAGAATAAATAATATAAATAATAATAAATAAATAAATAAATAAATTAAATAATATAAATAGTAAATAATAGCAGGAGAAGACTGTTCAAACAAAAGAAGGTGTACGGTTAGTTTCGCCGGTTTCCTCAGCGAACTTATTTTTTGCTATCTGAAATTGATGCTGATGCTATCATGTCTACCAAAATTCGTCCATGGGCGCGCTCAGTTTGCGGAAGTCAGCTATAATTTGTTTAGGAGGCCAAGTTCAGCCGAGAGGCGTAAGGCTGACAAACAAATGTTAGAAGACGTACAAACGAGTCGGTGCTGTTTTCGAAATACATCAAAGAAGACCATTCTTATTTTGCAAACTACAAATTTATAGGATTATCTGGAACTATTTAGATTTTTGCAGAATCATATAGCGTGGCGTACGGCTTCTGATGTTGATAGGGCGCCCGATTTACACAGGCGGGGACACTTGGGTGGAACAAGATGACGCGCAATTGGAAAGAGATGGCTCTTAAGCGGTACGTAAGGGGACTGATATGACTGGGTCATTCGTCACCCACTTTGATCAGCAGGATACGTATAATGGAGTTCCTATGCCTAAGATTATTTTACTGCAAAAAAACGATATGAAACATGGCTGCATTAATTGGACCATCTAACAAACCGAGACTCCATGAACTAATCGTACGATTTCGAGCGCCAATCTCTTGGTCACAGGCCTTTACCTTATCTTGGTTTTCTTGTCTACCTTCTATCAAGCAATAGATTTAGCTGGAAAAGAGACCATGGGTCATGAAGGAAAAAGGGCTAGTTTAGGGGGAAATCATTTAAATCGATCAGTAAGATTTCACATCTCTTGGATATTCTCTTGAACATGAGATCCTGCATTGGCGAATGATTTTGACCATAGTGGAGGTCCGTTACGAATGGCGCTTCTCAGTGAGGCGACTAGGCAAGGTCACGCGCGTTGGTAATTTTTCAGTTCAGTACGGCCACCTAATGCCCCACTGGGTACGTCTCTAACCCAATCCACTGTCTAGTTTTTCCTTTCGTATAGGATAGGATTTCGTCGCCGTCCTCTTCATCAATAGAAGGCGAGCTTGAAGCAAAACCCGGAACTTCAATAAAAAAAGTTGTTTCTTTGCGGAATGTCAATCGGTGGCTGACTTGTTGCCGTTTTCGTGCCGTTCTTTGTAGACTTCAAATGGTCTAAGATGGCTTCTTGGGCTCTTTCATATCCAAAAACATTCGTGGGAAACTGAGATTCAAGTCTTTTGACGTATAAAATGGTCTGGTAAGCAATACCACAGCAGAATACCATTGGGAAGTTTCCAAAATGCTTGATCTGTGGTGAGATAGGAGTTTTGTACGAGGGGATAGTGTACGCAGTAACCATCTCACTTAAAGCACCTGGGAGATGCTGGAACTTTGAGGAAAATGAAATTGCTTTTTCTTTGGATCCCCTTTCTCCTACTGAATCTCATATCATTTTGTAGAATCACTACGGACACTGCCCATGGCGTATTCAAGATCGGCACATCCGGCCCTTATTTTGCCACCGGCTTCTCTGGCAGGGGATACCAGATATTCCTCGAACCTTTATTCACCGAGTTCTCGATATTCTTTTACTATATAGTATCACCAGTTCATGAAAACTCAGCTAAGGCACCGCAAGTTTACATGAGCAACTATAAGCATCTTATTATTATGTAGAATCTAGAGACCCAGCTTGCACAAGAAGAAATAGAAGTATCAATGCGTCAAAAAATATTCCACACCGCTCGTTAGAGAGAGAACACAGATCAAACTAGCATAATCACAGGACTATTCTGAGTCACTGACCGGGAAAAAAGGAGAAGGGCGGAATTGTAAGAAAAACTAATCCGTGTACAACTGCCTTATACTTGTTCTAACTCAATCAGTACACCGCCGCAGTCCTTTGGATGCAGGAATATCACGTCCTTCCCGTGGGCGCCGATTTTTGGCTTATCACCAAGTGTTCGAATTCCTTTCGACTTCACGGTTTCCATCGCTTTAGCAATGTTGGCGACTTCAATGCATATATGGTGCATACCACCGGCCTTATTTTTGTCCAAGAAACCCTGAAATATAAGTGTACTGTCTACTAAGAAGTAGATTAAAAATGAGAATCATGCAGTGCTATATTTTACCAGTTTGGCTGCTCACGTATTCGCGTGCATCACACGAGCTGCACTAGTATAAGAATCATCGATATTTTCATGATCCTTCCTGAGAAACTCCGCCCATTTCGGTGCTCGCCCCCCCCCCACCGAAAGCCCTTGAATTCCTTTCCTTTGCCAACCTCTATCCACTTTTTCCGTTTTCCGGGAGAGATTTTTCGCAACCGAGTTATAAGGTTTCGTGGCAAACTCCGCCCACCTAGTGCACTATCCACCCACCAACAGCACTTGATCTTGGAACCGAATTATAAGGTCGGCAGCAAACTCTGCCCAAGTCGGTGCACTGCCCCCATCGACATCTATTCTTTTCGTTCGGCTAGTAGGCAAGTAGGCAATAAGGCGGGTTGGCGGTTAGGCGATCGCTCAATGAGCAGGGCAACAAATCATTATGCATACTTTTCTCATCGCCTCGCCTAATCGCTTACTCGCCTGATCGCCTAATCGATAAGTACACTTCTTTTTGAATCATGGCCTAGGAGCCTAGTCGCCTAGGCGATGATTCAAAAAGATCGGCGCCTGCATGATCGCTAACTCTGAACTCTGCTGAAGTGGCTCATTCACTTGAACTCCCCCTAACGACATGAGTGCCCGCTTTTCTTTCCGAAATATCAGAGGTGAAATCTATCATGCGCACCACAGCCGCAGACATCCCAGGCCAGCAAGCTTTGAAACCTCTGCTTCCGAGTCGATGGTTTTCTAAGGTCTTTGTCTTAACTAACCTGAATTGGCGACTTGTCTCCGTGGGGATGCAGCAGCTCGAGTTTTGAATTTGGCAGTTCAACAAACACGGTGTACACGCCGTGCTCTGGTTGTGGCTGTAAGATATTCTTTGAACGTTGTTTAAAAAGCGATTTGGCATGGAGAAATACGAGCACATGGGAGTATGTACCACATGATGTCTGTACCAACAAATTTGGCCGTACCCCACCCCTTTTTCGGCGCTCATGTCCTTGGGGGGGGGGGACATCCCAGTGAGTGAGCCAATTACTGTACTTGGGACTGAGCCTTAGGCAGATGGAAGGGATTTTATGGGAAGATGCAAGCAATATGTGTGCTCCCTGGCGTTTCTCCCCTCTCCTGGGCTTAGTCCCAGTGTCACCTGCCATCGGCCTTGTTGTTGATGTCCCCCCCCAAGGACATGAGCGCCCATTCTTTCTAAGCAGAGGTGCTCGCAGGTGCTCGCAGTCCAGCACCTACAGTTCTCTAGCGTTATTAAGGCAGCGTTCATAGTTGGCGATCATTCATGGGATTAGGCGAGTAGGCGATTAGGCGAGTAGGCGATTAGGCGATCGCTCAATGGGCGGAGCAACAAATCAATACGTATCCTCTCTTATCGCCTACTCGCCTAATCGCTTACTCGCCTGATCGCCAACTCTGAACGCTGTCTAACCACACCAACTTTTGACTTCGTGCACACCTACAATTGTTTTTTTTTACCTATTTTTGTCGCCAAAAGGTCACTGCAGCTCATTGCCTTCTTCCTTTTCACACATATGTACGACGAAAATAGAACAATCAGATATGCTAACATGAAGCCCTGTCTAGATTTCAAAAAATCCATCTATAAGCGGGTTTTCAAAAAAGGACTCGGACACATTTGATAAATGCTCACCACAGGATCGCTGACTTTCGCTCCCAAGTTTTTGTAAAACTGCGAAGCTTTTTTGAGATCCGGTGTAGCGATGGCGACATGATTTAGTCGTCCCAAGAGGTCCGCAAGGGGATGTGAGCAAAGCGACTGAAAAATTATAATAAATGACTATGTCAAAACATAGAAATAATGAACTTTGAAAATGTAACCATCCTAACAAGAGTGAGGCTATTTCAAAATTTAAAAACACACACCCTTGCGACCACGGCATTGTAGGCGGGACGAGCGAGACCGAGAAGCTTCAGCGAATTCATCTGAATGAGCGAGGTAAATGAACTTCACTCAATCATTGCACATTTGAAAGCAAACAAGCTAACCATCGAGTAAATATAAACACGAAATATTAACACTGGCGCTACAGCGAGACGAGGGAGTGGGGTAATTCAAGCAATACATTTGAAACCGAGGCAGAGAGCTCGTTGTTATAAACGCTTAGAAAAAGAAATACTCAAAAAGTAAAGCTCACCTAGTTTCTAATGGGATATCGTCACTAAAAACTAATGGCAACTTTACCATGTAGTAGGCCGTTTTTTAGTCCCTAACGGTTTAGCAGAGAGAGCGTTAGCGTTGAAGAGGGCAGCACCGATAAAAGTCGCATTAGTGCGGAAATCAGCGGGAGAAGGGGTCCTTTCCTCGTTTCTAGAGGCCGTTCTTATGATTTTTTTCATTCCTGCACCACTGACCGCTCTACTATGATTCTATGGACTGCCTTTCAATTGTAAGGTCTGCCTCTGAAGGGAGATACACGAATAGAATTGAAGGAAGAGCCTACTAAAAAAAGCAGAGGCATTTTGTCCTGAAAGGTGGGCTATGCACTACTGCCAGTCGAAATCCCCTAACGGCCTGGCCAGACTTATCCGCGCGCTCCTGGCTTTCCCATGCCTATCATCACCAATTTTGCTGAGGCCATTGTCTCTAGTTTTTCTTCTCCATCGCCTGCACCACAGACTAATCTCTATTCCATTTCTTTGGGAATCAGTTTTATTGTCCGAATCGCACTTTGAAGCAACCATCAAAAATTGGCTTTTGTAGATGTGAGATGTAAACCCTTACCATAAAAAAACCGAAAATCTTAAGTAGGTATAGTAGCAAAATAGCCTTTCACCATATTTCTACTGGTGTGCCGACGCGATGCAGAGTGACAGTCTGCTACCGCGGCACGGAACTCCCCTGCCAATCCCAGGTATCGCACCGGGAATTCCTTTCGATCAGCTGCAGGAGAAGCTTGTCATGCATACCAACAGGCTGACTGGATTCGGTTTTTGTCGAATTCGAGATATGAGGGACTCGGTATTCCCGAGTCGTAAGAGATAGTCTGAGCTCCCACCAGCAGTCCAACATGCTTTGAGTTGAAGACTATTTCAGCCATAAACATTAGCGAAACGACTTTGATAGATAGAAATATAACCGTGGGGAAATGCATTGGCCAGACTTTTAAATTATGTCCTGCGATAGAATTTTCATAGTAATCCCCAAAGATTTCTTATCTTGTAGAATTTAGTGCCCAAAGACCTTCACGACGACCTATAAATATAGCGCATTCCTAGACCAAGATCAAGCATTTCTGAACGGTTAGAGATGATTTCTATATTTGACGACAATGATAAGTTTTTCACTAAAGCAGATTTGAAAAAAACGAGTAAGTATACATATTACAGGAAAAGTAACACGAAAGAAATTAGGAAGGATACACAGGCAAATATGCTACTGCAAACTTTTAGGTGATCTAATGTGCTACTGAAGAGGTAGATTTCATAACAACTAAGAAATCAAGCTATTTCCTTGACCTATGCCGAAGAGTTTATTCGTAAGTGTGGGGTTGTTCGGAAAGTTTCCGCCGATTTTACCCTCAAATTCAAAGCGTATATCACAGTTCAAACTGGTCGAAATGAAAACTTTCACCAATCCCCATACCTTTGCCTCAGAGAAGTGAATTTGAAGGTAATGGATTTGAAAGTGTTGCAGTTCTGTAGGCTAAGAGCTTGGCCAAGGTCGTTTCACCAATCGTGTTAGGTTTCAATGCTCTATCTCTTCAGTAGACCTTCCAGATGGTTGGAAAAGTGATAGTTAGTAGGCTATAGGGCTAGTGTGTGAAAATGTTTAGCAGCGTAATTCCGTAGCCCAGCTAGTTCAACTTGAGCACGGATGGAAGTGCGAGATGGGTCTGCGAAACTGTGGGGAAGAGAGGCGGCAGCCACTTGTCTACTTCATTTGGCCTTTTGGCCCTCACCTTTTATGTTTGGAAACCGTTGCGACAATAAGCCAAACGCAGAAAGCGGCCCTTATCAAACATCGCAGATTTGGTTTTGTCAAAAACCCTCGCTGAATTCTATGCAGTCTTCCGATGGAACGCCTTCACGCTTACCCTTCTCGAACCTTTTACCGACCGACGAAAAGAAAATTTTAATCACAACAAACGGGTTTTCTTTCTATGGATACAGCACCACATGCTCAGTTGATATCGCAACTTGCTACCGGACATATCGAGCAAGTTTGAGGGGAAACGAAGAAACTAGTGCAAAGCAGGTTGATGAGTAATGCATATAAGGGGGGGGGAGCAATAAAAAAGAGACATTATGTCTTCACATTCAAACCGATTAAATCGCACTCTGCTAAATTCTGAAACGAATGTACCCCCAAGTTAAAATGAAAGAACATTTTATAAAATATTTTATTAATAAATAAATTTATTAATAATTAAATATAAATTTATAAAAATAAACTTCATATTGCCCTTCAAGGTGGCACGAATCGGAAAAATTAGCACTGAAAACATGGTGTACTGGTCGTGCTCAATGGGGTCGTGGACGGACCCATACCATTACGACGTTTTCTGAAAAGCGGGTTCCGAGGGGGTTTGCATATTCAGAGCTAATGTTTCTAGGAAACTATCCAACGATGAATCGATTGAAGAAATTAAGTAAGAGCTTCAGGCTGAGCATTTACTGTAGGTCCTCCTGAGCTCGACGACGATGACAGATGACGTCATATTCTGAAGACGGTGAGGGCAGTGAAGGAGGGCTTGCGTCTACTAATAGGGACATTTGAGGAATATTTTGCTGAAGAACTTCCGTCAGACGGCGTCAGCGCGACAATCTCTGCGACGAAAAAAACGCTGAGGTGAGGAAAAGGCCAAGAAATGTATCTTTTTAATCTGCCCCCCCCTGTATTCGATACTCCAAAAAAGACTGGAGAAGTGCTTCAGGGAAAAAAGAGAAGATGTAGATACGCGAAAAACACGCTCTCCGCACATAACGTGATAACGTGCCTTGCCTTACTATCACAGTTTTTTGATTCGGTAACACAAACAGCTGGTTCACATCAATTGCTTCTGCAAACATAGTGAATGTGCCTCAGCGGCAATTGCGTGCAGAAATTTGTTTCCATTATTTCAAGGCGATTAAAATGGAAAAAAAACCCGAAGTGGTTGATATGGAAAGTGTCCCCTATCTTGAAATTTCGGAACAACAGTGAATTAACTGAATAACTTAGTTCAAAGGAGGAAGCCAAAATGAATTCTCGACGCCAACAAAACGCACATTCCTTCCTACCGGCTAAAACAGATATTTACGAGTACAATGCTGAGGACCAACCCCCACTGCAGTTGACATGATTACAAAGACAAATTCAACATGAGATTTGCAATGAAAGGGTTCTACCAAAGACCTGCCTAGTGTTGCAGCCAGCGGTTTAGCCCAATGCAACGCGATAAAGACCATTTGCGGAGGCCAGTAACGGCTGGTGCAGAGTGCGCGATCCATCGCTGTTTAGCAGGTTTCGCGATATTCGCGTGATTCGCAAAAATCACAAGCGCCTCACATGTGAACATTTGAAACACGATGAATATGAAACAAATAGAATCGTCGTCATTCAGCCATCACCTTCAAGTAGAAATGGCAGCGGGAATGGAGAGCACTTTGCAGTATTGATATGACACTTGTTGAATTTTCTGTTGACCATCGCGGCAAATCGCGCGCGACCCGCGACGGACCGCGTACTCTACCAGCTTAAGGGGGTATGTGGGGCGACATTTGATGCCGCCTACAGATCTTCCAATTTTTGCAGGGGACGAAATCGTATGCAAGAGCCATCGCTTCCGCTTCACACCCACTCGGAAGCTTCCTTCCCTTGCGAAAAATTGGATTACTTTGGGCGAAAACTGTCGCATTACATGCCCTTCCCCTTACTGGATGAGACCTCATTTACGCCCCATTACGTTAAGGGACGTCAATAATGGAGCTGATAGAAGGAGATGCCAAAGATTCTAAAGTTGATTTTCGCAGAATCCGAGCTAAGAGAGCAAGAAAAAGTAGTGACACTGAAGATCGAGGGCTCCGAATAATGTATTCTATGTTACTTTGCCAAATAATGCATAAAAATGTAAAAACAAAGAAATTGCTTTAGCTAACAGAATTATGGTTCAGTCGTTTGATTTATGCGTGATTCACTTACTATGTATCAATCAAAATGGCGGTTAGTAATAAGTAAACGATATAAACTTATTGATAGGTCCAAGAACCTCAGACAACAAGCCTTTTTTGACAACAAAATTAATAAATAATAGTAACGACGATAACCCGAACAAAGGGCAGAGACAGCCGAGTGCGTGATCAGACGGGGCAAGTGTTGGGCTGTAACGAAGGGCAATCATCGATCGAACAGAATCGACTTAAACTCGAGAGAGTCAAACACTCATGGTTCCCGAAAAAATTATTTATTATGACTTTTAAACATAGGCTACAACACTCTGATTTCCAGGCACTAATCAGTACTACAATCCCAAAATCACTAAATTCTATTTTTCGCCGAAACCTGTTTGTGGTGGTAATTCGATGGCGATCACGAAAATTGGTACTCATATTTTGATGCTGGTGCCATTTCGAGCGCAGATGAACGTCGCTCTGGCACGAAATGTCAATTCCACCAATTAAATCTAAACTCGCAAAATAGGCGGTAGATTGGTTCCTAAGTATAATAGGGGTCTATTCCAGTTAGGGGGGGCATCATGGTGCGGTGACTCCCAAAAAGCTACGGTAACTCTGAGCCAGGGGGAGTGTAGCCAGCCTAGGGGGTGGGGGTGAGGGCAGTCACTTGACATGCGTGAGAAGCTGGAATGTTCGAGTTTACATTAGCTCGCCGAGAAACTGCATCATGATGCCCCCCCCCCCTAACTGGAATAGACCCCAAATTCTGAATCAGTTTCGCCTCTCGCCTAAGTTTATCTCATATTTCTGCTTTCCTGAGATTTATCACT